ATTTTCAGGTGCTAAAGAATCATTACTTAGTGTATGAATGAATGAAATGAAGGAATGAGGAATTTATAGTAACACACAAATTGTCAAATACATAGGTACACATGTATATCAGTTATTCCATAGTGAACTGTAACTGAGGATCACAGATGTTTAGATACATACAATATTCATACATTAAACTTGAAGAGTTCATAATTTATAAATTATAACTCTTGGAAAAATAGAAAGCATAATTTTTCTATTAACATAAATTTATTTTGAAAATATTGTATTAATTATTTTTATTTTATGTCTATGAGTATATTGCCTCCATATAGGTTGGTATACCCACATTATGCAGTGCTCACAGATGTCAGAAAAGGGTGTCAAATCCCCCAGAACTGGAGTTACAGATGGTTGTTAGCTGCAATGTGGGTACTGGGAATCAGACCCACATCCTCTGCAAGAGCAGCCAGTGTTCTTAATCGCTGAGCCATCTCTCCAGCCGAAACAAAGTTATTTCCAGATTCCAAAATTTTGTGCACTTTTTGATGAGATGAATAATGACTGAAGACATGATATTAAGTGAACTTTGTATCTTTAAGACTATTAAGAATAAAAGTCAATGTTTTTTACTCATTGGCTTTACCCCAATGAGTAATTGCATGAATATATTTTAAAAGATGTCTGTCAAGTTCATGGCCTTTTTGCTTTTAAGAATCTAGAAGCTGAAGTACCCCATATACTTGAATGAAAATGCCTTTAGGAAACCCATCATTATATATAATAAATATTTGTTTAAAGTTTAGCCACATAATTTATCAGGACTATATTGAAAGGGCTGGATATAAAGTGGAGATAAAATGAAAGGGCTCAGTGGATAAAGTGTTTGCTATGACTACTGAAATTCAGATCCCCATCACCCATAGTAAAGGAAATCAAAAGCTGAGTTGGTATGCTGACCCACCTGTAATCTTAACACTCAGGAGGTGGAGACAGAAGATCACATGGCAACCTGTTAAACTAGGCTACAGGTATTGGTGAGTTCCTGATGCAGGAAGCCTCAGTAAATTAATAAAATGGGAAGTGACCGAGGGAGATACACAACATCAGCCTTTGGCTTCCACTCATATGTATGCAAATACATCACACACATATCTAAATAAAAGAGAATGTGCTGGTATTTTCTTAGTTAGTAGCTATAGGTTTAAAAAAATGAACAACTGACATTTATATTATTGGCTTAAATTATTTGAGTGTGTAAATACAAAGTTATAATCATCTTAAGAAAAATTAATAGCAATTATTCTATTGCTCTTGGATGAAGTATACAGAGCATATATTGTTTATATAGGCTATACACATATTTATGTATAGGCTATATATGTCTATGTGTGTATATAGTTATACAAAAAGTATTATATATCTGTAGAATACCATCATATATATGTACACACAGATAATCCTGTTCCCAGATAAACATCCAGCCCTATCTTTCATACAAAGTACAGCTATGAAATCTGGGTAGGAAGCAAGTATTCAAGTCTCTAGAAAGGAAAAAGTAGCAGAAAAGTTGATGACTATTTTACATCGTATCTCCCAACTTGTATTGTGTTTACCACTATTTTCCTTGTACAGTTATTTGATGTGGATTAAATATTAAAATATTAGAGAAATTACACTCTAAATCTCAGCTGAGACATTAGGATTGACAAAGTTCTAGGCCAGTCTGGATTTCACACTGATCTCCAGATCAGCCTCCTCCAAAGTGTGAACCTTGTATTCAAAAAAATAATAAATTCATTATATGAGACATTCTGGCCCGTGTGATAAGACATGAAAAGGAAATGAATGCCATACCCAATAGAGATGAAGAAATAAAACTATTGTCATCTATAGACAATTATTGCCATGAGTATAAAAATTCACAAGTATATATTCTCCAAGAATAACAGCAGTTCACCAAGATCATGGCATATAATGTCTGCAAATAATTTTATTTTTTATATTTGCCTGAAGCAGTTAGAAATCAAAATATAAAGAATCCTACAGCTTACAATAAGTCCAAAAAAAATACATACATACATATTGGTTTATCAAAATCTGTATAGGGGAGATAGAGAGATAAAAATACAATTCAATCCTGAAGACATTCAAAGAAAACCAAACAATTAGACAACTGGTTTTCATTGTATCAATGGCTAAACAGTAAAAATTAAAATTAATAATTTTTTTCAAATTAATTCATTGTTTGAATATTATAATAAAATTCCTAACTGGTATTTCTTGTATATCTGGATTAGATTAAACTAACATTTATATAAAATATAAAGAACTTATAATTTCCAAATAATTCTGAAGAGAAAGAATAAAGACTTGGAAGTTGGTTTATCAGATTTCAAGACCTGAAGCTGTAATAATTTAAACGCTATAGTGTGTGCAAAGTGAGGTGAGTCACAAATAAATCATTGGAACAGAATATTCTAGAAAGTGAGCCACATACTTATGGTCAAACAATTTTTCATAGTGTTGCTAGGTAAGTTAATGGAAGAAGAAATACTTTCCAAGAAGTGTTTTGATAATTGGGAAACATGATAGTTACTCCTTTTGTTCCTGTGGTAAAATACATGACAAACTTAGTTTAGGGTTTATTTCCCTCATGCTTGGAGAAGATATATTTGATCATGACATGGAAGGCATGACAGCGTAGGCAAGAGGCAGCTGGTCCTAGTCTGCCAACAGTCAGGAAACAAAGAAATGAACGTTGGCACTACATTCTCTTCCTCCTTTTAGTCTGAGACAACAGCCTAAGGGATTGTGCTGTCCATTTTGAGACTGGTTCTTCACTCCTCAATTAAAGCTCTTTTAAAATACCCTTTGTAGACATGCTCAGAGCTATGTTTCCTAGTTGGTATCAAATCCAGTCAAGTTGATAATAAAATTTAACCATCACAAGTCTACTTCTTATCAATATGATTGCGAAACATATAAGTTTTAACATTTTACCCCTGGTCCTCAAATGATCCCTGCAATTTCATAATGCAAAATGCATTTAATTCATGTTTAAGAATTCCACAAATCATGGCAACTCATATTTAAAAAAAAAAAACCTCAAAACAACTTCTGACACTCAAGTACTCTCTTTACTGCAATCCCCATATAATACCAAAATACCACCATGTTCTTACAATATACAGTGTTACAGAATGAATCTTTCCGCTCTGAAGGGTAACAATGGGGCCAAAGGAAATAAAGGGTGAGTCAAGCCAAATCTGAAACTCAGCAGGAAAAACACTAAACCCTGAAGCTTCATGACCAGCATCTGGGACTTGTTGATGGCACTATTTGGGTTTCAGAAGGCTTATATAGATTTGTCTTGCAGTTCTGAGAAATTCAAACCTGTATCCTTTCTCTTGGACCAATTGCACTTTGTGCCTGATGCTTTCCTCAGTAATTGTCCCTGAGTCCTAGATATCGCAGGGTCCTGGTCCCTTCAGACTTTACAGCTATTCCTGGAAAAACACTTCTGAGATTGATGTTTGCAACCAAGCTACCACTTCGTTGGCATTCTTAGTGCCTTCTCTTCAATTCATTTTCATATGTTGGAGTCTTCCCTTTTCCTCAGGAATCTTCTCCTACTGTTCTAGTAGAAAGAGTGAGACTTCTACTCAGCCTCTAATAATTATAACTGATTAATCTTTATGGACCTTGCTTGGACATATTTACACTTTTTCTGGAGAATCTAACTCTCCTGCCCCTGGAAATATAAAAAAGTCACCAGCTTGTCATTCATGCCATTTAAATGCTAGCTCACTAAATCAGACTCTGGAAAAAGATCTCCAAATTCCAGTCAGATTATCAAATGCCTGTAGCTTCAGCCAGCAATTTAGTGAGAGACCAAGAGCTTAGAAACCACCATACCAGTAGATTCTCAAATTCCTGATACAAAAATAGAAGACATACTGAAGGCCTATCAGGGTTTAATGCATAGGCAGCACAATATATTAGCATTTCCACAGGAGTGAGAAAAATATGGGTATGAAATATTAATTGTTGTGACAATAAAGGATAAGAAATAGATTTTGAAATAGTTCTGATAGCATTAGTAGATTGTAGATCATCACCAGGGATGAAAAATACTGGGCTAGGTTGATGAAAGACAGAATAGCATGCTTGAAGTACAGTTTTCATGAAAACTAATTAGGAGAAATGCAGTACTAAGGACATACTCATTAGAAGTGATGGCTGAGTTGAAACACAGAAATTGAGAGGCCAGTATGTTTGAAGATCTATGGGTATAGTAGAGTCAGTTATTCCTGGTCATACGTAAAAACGTTGTGTTTATTTTTTATTTGTTCTTTAGTTTATGTTCTGAATTATTTTTAAATGAGAGCTGCTTTCTTATTCAACTAGAAAAATTTCTAGCGGAATGGAAAGGTGGACATTTGCCACGGGATAGAGCCTTTGGTTTATGGGAGAAATAAGACAGAAGAAGAATACAAGTGCAGCAGTGATTTGTCATTAATATTTATATTGCAGATATTTTGAAATTGGTCTTTTACAACCCCAGATAGCATGCATTTTGGGGCTTAAGTTTCTACCATGCTTTTGGAAATCCAGTTAAGACCTGTATGGGAGGGTCTAAGTAAAAAATTATAAACACTGAATTGGTGCTATTAAAATAAAAGGTAATAAATATATACAGATAACAAAGTGTCTAGATATGTTTGATTTCAGTGATGCCCATTATCAGTGAGAGTATCTATCATAAATAATAGAAGTAATGTACATGGAGCTCTAATGGCGTATTAATAGCATATAATACTATGGTGCTAAGATCAAAATGTTTGACAAAGACATTAATGACACACTGGATATAAAGCCACAACTTTATATCAGGGATTTTAAACATGAATATTTATGTTAGCAGGATTTGGTAGTGATCCATGAAATCAATGGAAAAAACAAGCAAATTTTAAATTAAGATGAATGCTAAATTATTTCTTTGAATTTTCGCCTAGATATTCAATTGACAGAAACACAGACTTAGAGAGATATTTCAATATCGATGCAAACAGTGGGGTTATTACCACGGCCAAGTCTTTGGATCGAGAGACAAATGCTGTTCATAACATCACAGTGCTTGCAATGGAAAGCCGTAAGTGGAAAGGTTTCAGGTGCTGCTAGGTTGGGGGAGGGTGAGAGCAGAGAATGTTCTCATGAGATGATAAAATCAGGTTAACCTGTAATAGTTGTTCTACTGAATTGAATAAAAACCCAATAATCCAAAATCACTAAGCTGTGAAAAATATTTGTATTCTCTAGTTTAATTTACTAACATTTACATAGTTAATTTAAAAGGAGAAAATGATAAAGCAATGGGTCAGAACTGCCTTCTGAGGGTTTCCTGTTTTCTCTTTCCATTGTAGACATCACATTATCTAATAGGAACTTAGTAAAGTGAGTGTATGAATGAGTGAATACGCATGCCTATAAATTAGTGCATCTATGTGGATTGGATTATCTGCAGCTCTGTTTAAAGTTTTTTGACTCTAGTTTTCATTTTTGACTTATAATTTACAAACAGAAACTTTTTAACTTTTCAAAACTTTTGCTTGTTTTTAAAGTTTCTTGAAAAAATAGCAACATAAAGACTAATGCTATCAGTGTAAGTTATAAGACATTTTCTTATCTGTTAGAGAACCCATCCCAGGTTGGACGAGGCTATGTGGCCATTAGTATACTTGACATAAATGACAACGCCCCTGAATTTGCAATGGATTATGAGACCACCGTCTGTGAAAATGCTCAGCCAGGGCAGGTAAGAGTCTTCAAAACAACTGTGCCTTGTTTGAAATTTCTTTAAAAATATCCAGCAGCGGTGCCTTTGAAACCTTCCAGCTTTCAAATAACATATAATCAGCTTGTTTCAGCAAAACTAGCACTTTGATGTACAGCACAAACTAATATTAAAGGAACTTTCAAATTCTGATTTAATTGGGTGATGAAAATTCCGCAGGAGGAGAAGGTAAACATTGTAAGAAGCCCTGTTACATGTTTAAAGGCTTAGCTTCCTTTAAGGAGAAATAGCACATTAAGCTTGATTGGGCTGTTTCCTACCTTATACAGTGGAGTTAAGTACCTTAAAGTTCTAAAAATTAAATGTAATTCAAGCTCGGTTTGACTTGTCTATCCACATTGCTGTGTCCTGTGATGGTTACTGGGGTGTCTAATCAATTGGCACAGCTTGTTTCTGAGGTTCACAAAATTAAGTTCAAACGTGCGCTTTGAAAAGGACATGATTTGTTGTTCGGAGCCCATTTTGCATCGAGTTCATGTTGGTACACCAGATCCATTCCCTGAGCTCATTCCTTAAGATGGCATTTATTATAAAGTATGAAATCATTGTGTCCTGCCACAGAAATCTCAACAGAGTGCACTAACATGCCCTCCTTTTTCATGTGCTCTTTTCTAGGTTATCCAGAAAATCAGTGCTGTAGATAAGGATGAGCCTTCCAACGGACACCAGTTCTACTTCAGCTTAGCAACGGATGCAACAAATAACCACAACTTTTCATTAAAAGATAACAAAGGTAAAGAATTGTTGTCATTACAGGAGGCAGAAAGAACACTCTTAGGCAAGTTCTGTTTATCCCCTAGGAATGCTGATTATGGATTTTTTTCTTAAACAGCAAGGACATTAATTAAAAGGTAGGGGGCCCCTCAAGTAATTTTTATCCATGGATTTGCTGTCATGGTAAAGAAGCTGCTTTTTAAATCATTTTAGGTCTAAAGCCAAATGTGAAAAGTTAGGTCTATTTCTCTTTGATTTTCTTCTAGATGTCTGCCCTCTTATATACCATGTTTGTTACCCAAGTTATCTAATTTATTGAGGGTCTGCTATGGGCCTCAGTAAAGACTGTGATATGTCCACATGACTTGAGACTCTCAGAAAAATAATTGGGCTACATGAATTTCAAATTAAATCAATGTTCACTTAATACTCTGAATAATATTGATCATTCTTTTATCTGCACATAAAAATAAATTTTCGATGTTAAAAGTCTAATAAAACGTAGTTAAAAAGTAAGATAAAATAATAAATAATAAAAGTACCCCCTTCGTGGCAAATTTAGTTTCCCTGCTTAATAGTGAACCAGTTTTAGCAATTCCATAAGTTATTGTAGGAACATTTTACAAATATTTAGAAGCACAAATTTCATTAGCTTAGCTTATATTGATAACTAACATTATCTAGTTAACAATTTATATGATAGTTTTTCATGTAAATCAGGTTACAGCTAAGAAAGAAAGGTAGAAATACATTGTCCAGCCAATACCAGCCTACCCGACAAGACATGATTTTCAGAAGAGTACTAGGACTTTTGCCTGAGGCCGCAGCTTTAGTGCAGAAACTCTAATCTTGGCTTCAAAAATTCAATCTGAAAGTAACAGTTTTTCCTGATCCCATTCTCCATCTAATGAGAACACTCTATTGTCCCTTTAGTAATATAAAATAAATAGCATTCTCTGGGAGGGTAGTCCCAAACTCTCTGACTCAATCAGAGTTGGGGAGGCTTGCTATCAGCTCTCGAGTCATCCAGCACAGATGCATATAGGTAATATATAACATTCACAAGAAGATGGTGACTGTATCCCTCCTGTGTCACAGTCCAATAGTATCAAAATGGCTATGCAGAAAATGTACAAATAAGTCTGGATTTATGGGACATCCATAATGTCATATAGCTGAAAATGTCACCATGCCACACTCAGAAAGCCTAGAACTTGAATACTGTACCTTGAGGGACAACAAAAGAACACGGAGAAAGTAATTTCTTATGTTGCCTTCCATGTTAGGGAGCAAATATAGAGCATGATGAATTTACCATCTCCTTCCTGAGCATAGAATTCTGTCCTCACATGTTCAACATCTTGGTTTGTGCTTATCAATTCTGTGTGTATAATGTGTATATGTGTGTGTGTGTGTGTCTGTATGTCTGTGTGTCTGTGTGTCTATATGTCTGTATGCGTGTATGTCTGTGTTTCTGTGTGTCTGTATGTCTGTGTATCTATATATGTCCGTGTGCCTATATGTCTGTGTGCATGTGTTTTCATGTCATCCATGTGAGACTACAGATAAACAACTTTGTAAGCCTTTTTATATCAAATAATAAAAATATATAACATATAAATTGTTGAGAGGCAAGTCATCTGCCTTTATTATTGTTAACTACAGAAAACCTAAAAATCCTCTAAACAACTCTATGTATAATTAAATTACTATAGTTTTCTAATCTACATTTTTAAAACACAGGATCTCCCTGTAACCCCAGGTATCCTGGAAGTCAATATATAGGCCAGGCACTCTCACAAAAACCCCCTGCCTCTGACTACTGAATGCTGGATTAAAGGTGTCTGCCAACATGTCTGGCTTCATATTTATATTTTCAATGAAATAGTTTTAAAATTTCCTGATTTTTAAAAGCATTATTAAATAAAACCTGTTCACATGAATATCTACTAAATAGAAAATGATATTCAAATATTTTTATTCTTGTCACCTCTATAATTACCATTAGTTGCTTTTCTACAGTTAAATATAATCTTCCATATATATATATATATAATTGAGTTTTTGTACAATTCATACAGAACATCTCAAACAATCTTCATCATCTTTATAATCCCATCCCCCCTGGAACCCTATCCCATAGCATCCCCCCACTGAAGCCCATATACTCTATCATTCCTGTTAAGGCCCACTGGGTTGTCACTGTCCCAGCCATTCCCCAGTGCAAGTCTGTCCACTGAGTCTAGTCAGCCTGCCTAAAGTCCCTTGTTTTAGGAAGATCAGCTCTGCTTCATCTATTAGCAATCAGTTGCCAACATAATGAAGCCCCCTCAGGCAGCAGAGGACCAGGAACACAAGAGGTGACAAAAGGCCAAAGTGTAGACATCAAGAGTCGGCTGTATGATGGTCCTTGGACAGGACTCCTTTATTAAATTTCACCCACCCAAGACTCAGGGACTATCACAGATGAGGGAGCAGAAAGATTGTAAGAGCCAGGGAAGATATGCATGACTATATGGAAACAGAGTCCTACAAGGTCCTGGGACCCTGTTCATGTTATCTTCTTTTGTGCTGTTTGATGATGTCATCTTTTCACTGGAGTATTGGTAAATCTTTCATTTTAATATTGGATACACATCTATCCTAGTTACTTTCTGTTGCTCACAAAACACTGACAAAACCAACAGGGGGAGAAAAGATTTTTATTTTATCTTACATCTTCCAGGTCACAGTCTATCACTAAGGGAGTTCAGGGCAGGAACTTAGAGGCAAGAGCTAAAGTCCAAACCATGGAGGACTCCTGCTTATTGGCTTGCTCTCTGTCTTGTGCTCAGCCTGCTTTCTTATATAGCACAGGAATACCTGCCAAGGGGTAGTAATGCCCACAATAGGCTGGGCCCTCCCACATCACTCAACAAATCAAGAAGATGCCCCACAGACATGGCCATAATCCAATCCAATGGAGAAATTCCTCAGTTGAGGTTCCTCTAACTAGGTGTGTCAAGTTGACAATTAAAACTACACAGCACAACATCTTTTCAACTATTTGAGATATATTTTTAGTATATAAGAATACAAGATGACAATATGATCCTACTGCCTTCATTTACTTTGTTTTCATGAGTTAGTATAATTTTGGAGACTCTTAAAAATTTTATTTACCTAATTAAGACAAAATACTTGGAGAAATACTTAAATTAAAAAATGTATTTCTGATATATAAATCACAATTATATACTTTTAGATTATATTTCAAATTTGCATAGTTACTATAAGTTTTAAATAGGATGTTGACTATAAATTGAGGCCTTCCTTATCACTGACAAAATGTTTATATGCATGCTACTTGAGAAAGTATAAATGCCAGTACTTAATGTTTGGCAATATGTAATCATTTATTCTCTGAATATCTATACAACCATGTTCTACATAATGGTATTTCAGTTGATGATAGATAATGTCTATGATACTAGCCCCATAAGTCTATGTCACCTAATGGCATGCATCATAGAAATCTTAGCCTATGTAAGTAAAAAATGATGTTAACACAATGAGGAAATAAGTTAAATAAGCTGGTTTCTTTCTCAAACATATCCCCCTTCTTTAGTGAAAGCTGACTACATACTCAATTTGTATAAAAATACGGTACCTTATTTTTCTTTTTCTATATTGATATGGGTACCCACCAAACAAGGATGGATTTGAAATTTTATTTAATAATGCTACAAGAATATTTAATCTGTTAACTTTCAACAATCTCTCTACAAATATGTGGTTTAAAATTTAAGACAAACAAAAGGATATATGTAATTTATACAAAGTGGTGTTTAATAAATGCCTATAATATTCATATTTAGTTTTATTTTATGATTATTTGTTTGTCTATGTATGAAGTAGTGGAAATATATTAACATGAATTACATATGAATATATTGCTAATATGTCTCTCTGTTCAAAAAGAACACACTGAAAGCACACACACACACACACACACACACACACACACACATACACACACACACACAGCTGTTTTACCTCATTAATCAGAATGAACAGAATGACTCTACATTTGGAAATACAGAGTTCATCAGAAATCTTGTTACACATTTTTGTTCTTCATCCTAGACAATACAGCCTCAATTATCACCAGGAGAAATGGCTTCCGGAGACAAGAGCAGTCGGTTTACTATCTGCCAATTTTCATTGTGGACAGTGGATCTCCCTCTCTGAGCAGCACCAACACCCTCACCATCCGTGTCTGTGACTGTGATGCAGATGGCATAGCCCAGACTTGCAATGCGGAGGCCTATGTTCTACCTGCTGGCCTCAGTACTGGAGCCCTGATAGCAATACTTGCTTGTGTCTTGACATTATTGGGTAGGTATCATTTTCAGTACTTTCTCTGTAGAGGCATGTAAAAAAATCATCATGAATCACACATTTTCTAATTTTTTTTCCATCAATATAGAGTCTCTTTACACAAGCATATAAAACTTTTAGGCTCATTTAGTATCAGTGATTGGCTACTATATACAATGGCTGAATTAAAGGAATAATACAACATAAATTAATATCAATTTTATTTTCAAAATATACACTGAGGGGCTAGAGATGGCTCAGTGGGTAAAAGCTCATATTATTCTTGTAGATGATCCAAATTGAGCTCCAAATCCCCACATTAGGCAACTCACAACTGCCTGTAACATCAGCTACAGAGTGTCCAATGCCCTCTTCAGGCCTCCCCAGATACCTGAATTCACATGTTCCCATACCTACACACAGACACAGACCACACATACTCATAAATAAAATAGGAACCACTAACGATAAATGACTTCTGCTTAAAATGAAGATTTTTTTCTGTATTTCATTTTTTAAAATTTATCTTATCGCTGGGTGTCGTGGCGCACGCCTTTAAACCTGGCACTTGGGAGGCAGAGGCAGGCGGATCTCTGTGAGTTCAAGGACAGCCTGGTCTACATAGTGAGTTCCAGGACAGCTGGGGCTACAGGGAGACTCTGTCTCAAAAAGACCAAAAAAAATTTTTTTGTCTTATCCTGTTTCTTTGACTGAAAATAATATGCACAGCAGCTGCAGTAGAATAGAAGCAATGTTTTCCATATTGTTTTGCTAATATGCTTGCTTTTAAAATCATGACACAACAAACAACTTTTTCAGAAAATATGTGCAACAGGTTTCTTGAATTATTTTCAAAATTTAGGAGCCTGAAATTGTAGCAACAAAATATTATAATTTCCTGAGTTATCATATTTAATTGCACTTTTCATGATTAGCTTATTATTTGGTTAAACAAGATTTATAACTCATATTAAAATTGCAGTTGCATAAGAGATTACACAGTATCCTTTTAAAAATTGGGTGACATCCAGCATGGCCATTGGATAATGAATGGGTTCATTCCAAACTAACTTTCTCCTTCACACTGTAACTTCCTACAGCTAGGACAATAAGCACTTAACATTGCACCTGTTACTATACTTGTTTCTAGGGGTTTAATGAAATTAGCAAATACATTTATAACATATTTTTATAAAAAACACATTTACAAGAGAGATCAGCATGGCCGAATGTTTAAGATGGAATTGTGGAACTATGTACCTACCTTCTATTTCTTGTCCATGTGTATACTAGTTCTTCATGAGGGACCCAGTAGTTTATCGACAAGATAGCGTGGTAGTCTAATGGGGAAAACACAAATAACTAGTGTCATAAGATTTTGAGAATTATATGCAATAATTCATGTAAATAAAATAGTGCTTACCACGTAGTGAATACTGAATCTATTTTTAAGTGTTATTGATGAATTAAAAAAAAAAAACTCAGTCTATTAACCAAGCTAAAGCTCAGCTGCTAAATCAATTTAAATAGTATCTTAATGTTGGAAGTTATGGTCTTCTATAACTTCAGTTAAACAAATAAATCTAAAATAAAATAATTATACTATTCCTTTAATATAATAGGTATCACAAACACTCAGAAATTTGTGAGAAATGGCTGGTAATTTCTAGTTAAAATGTAACTAGAATCCAGGCAGAAAGAGTAAATTTGAAAAAAAAACTGGAAGCACTGTGAAAAAAATGTGTATTTGTCTGCAGGATTTCAAAACATAATAATGAACTTTAAATTGTATATTTACTTTATAACAGCCCAATAAAGCTCATATGATTTTTAAATCCCTATTATATTAAAAATGGCCATGTCTTCATCTTGAAACAATCAAATTAGAAAAAGAGAAAAGGAAAGATAGATGGCATGTGGAACATTTTGAACTTTGCTCATTTAACAGGAACAGAATGTATTCTATATTGGGTAAAGGAAAAAGAGATACAGTTGTTCTCTTTTAAAGTTGAATATCACCAGTAGTGGTTTGATTTAAGTCTGACTGCCTGATGAAGCTTATTAATTTTTTATTGAATTTTTGTGTATTTCATATGGAAGATCTTAATTATCTTTATACTCCCTTCCTTATGGGCACCCTCCCATCGCACCCTCCCAGACACACTGAAATTCCTTCTGTAATTTGTGTTAAGGCCTATCATGTCAAGTTAGTGTCCCTAGACATCCCTCAGTGAATGTTCATCCACTGAGGTCTTTTCTGAGTTCCTCCTTTTAAAATCAGCTCTTCCTCACCCAGCAGAAATCAGCTGCCAATAATTCTTCCAGTAAGAATGGAGCATGTGCTTGGTTTCTGTCTACTTGAGGTTGCAAGGTTCTTGTGAATGCTGACACCACTGCTGTAGGTCGTATGAGCAAGGTCTCAGGAGCCTGAAGTACTCTGTTTCCATATGGTCATACATCTCCTCCCTGGCACTTACAATATTTCTGCCCTCTCTTCTGCGATGATCCCTGAGCCCTGGGTGGGTAGAGTTTAATGCAAAAGTCCTGCCCAAGAACTCACACTATATAAACTCTTATTCTCTATGCTTTGACCATTTGTGACCTTTTGTGTTCCTGGCTTTCTGTTGCATGAGGGAGCTTCATTGATGAGAACTGAGAGATACATTAGTGTTCTCTTTCCCCTTGTTGTATGTTTTATGAGCCTTAAGTATAGAGATTGCATTGTTAGTGCCACTTAGGCTTGGGTAATTCACAGACAACCTCTGTGTATGACCAGTTGTGGAATTCTTTAATGATCTATGTCTTTTCAGAAGAAGCTTCTTTAATGAGTGGTTACTAGGATACTTTGTAAATATAAGGATCCATATTTTGCACATGGTAAGAAATTACATTTGTGTAGGTTTGTGACAGCCTTAAGATTTTCTCTAATATCTATGACCTCTCCAGCCATGTATGTTTCGCTATATTTATAGTATCACACATGGGTTTCCTCTCACTGAGTGGGCTTTAAATCCAATTAGGTAGCTGTTGATTACCCCCAAGATAAAGGTACCCCGACTGAACCAGTGTTGTTTGTTGTGCAGGTCAATGATGTGGCTATTAAACCTTAAAGCTGTAGTTGAACCATAGATTGATGTTCTCCCTTAGAAGTTTGTGTAGTGCTCTCCAAAGCTATGAGAGCTAGCCTTTACAGGAGGGGCTTTCCATGTCAATTGCAGCTCCATTGCTTGTTTCACTTTTAATAATGTCATCTGTGACAAGGCTTGTTTGAATTAAAGATTGCTTGATGATTCTAACTACTTAAAAATAGTCAAACTGTTACTGAAAGAAAAATATAATTTTATTAGATTTCATTCTTAGTGTAATCTCTCTGTCTCTGTCTCTCTGTATCTCCGTTTCTCTCTCTCTCTATCTCTCTCTCTCTCCTCTCTCTCTCTCTCTCTCTCTCTCTCCCCTTTGTGTGTCTCTCTGTATGTGTGTGTGTGTTAGCTTGAGAGATTTTGTCTAAATTTAGATAGAAAATACAAGTATTCTTTCTGCTAAATTTCAGCATGTTGTTTATTTAGTAATGGTAGTTCCATTTCTAAAGATTGAGATTTTATGCATTACATTTTATTCATGTTTAAACATTTCTACAGATCTACAAAAAATGGTCAAAACAAAGCATTTTGCACTGAAATAAAGCACTGAAACAAAAGTTGCTGCCTGCAAGCCCCCAATTTCTACAGTGATATTATATAATAGCCAGCATCTTCCAACACAGTTCTGTATTATAATCTTTAAGTTTTATTTCCTAATTTGGTGGTAGCAGATAATCAAACTTTTTGTACTGATTTCTTTCTGGACTCACTATTGTAGACTGCATTTTAACACTTTGCTGTTGAAGTCAACTGAACTCAGTATCCCCAGATGTGCATGTTCACAGCATAAGCTTGTCATGTTTTTTATTTCAAACGAACCGGATAGCTCACTTTTTACAACACCCCACAAAGTAGTATGAATCTTGGTCCTAGATGGTAGGTGCAAGAACCTTTCACTCAAACTTTTACGAACTTGATAATAAATATTGCCACATAAAAACTGAAGGTGAGGACTTGCCAGTGTTAAGAAGGACCTGAGATTCAAGTTTGGTTTTATAAGAAACTGCAGAAGACTCTGGGCTTTGAAGTTTAAAAAAGGCACACACTTTAGTAATTGTCAAGCATGTAATCCAGTTATGTGACAAATTAAAGTGATGCATAACTTGACAGAAAGTCATAAACTGAAGTTACCAGAATGTTAGCATTGGAAGATATCCCAGAAATCGATCTTAATATAATCTGTTATATGCAAAGTGTAAACTGAGATATGGTAGCATTCAAGCTCTTCAAGAATTCATATAAAAACTTGAGGATATAATGGGATGAGATACAAGGTTTTCTTATTGTCAGTCAGTGATTTGGATGAAACAACAAAGGAAAGGGAGCTGGTTGCTCACATACCATCTTTTCTTCCTAAAGGCTTCAATTTTTTTCTTTTTAAAAAATATTTTATTTATTATTTTTATTTTGTGTGTATGAGTATATTGCCTGCATGTATATAAATGTGCCCATTAATATAATGTCCATGGAGGTCAGAAGAGATTGTCAGATCCCCTAGAATTGGAAATACAGACAGTTGTTACCAGTCATGTGGGTGTTGGGAATTGAACTCGGGTCCTCTCAAGACCAGTCAGTGCTATTAACTGCTGAGCCATTTCTGCAACCCTAGACTTCAATTTTCTATCATTTTAAGTTGGACTTGACAGCTTTTTCCTCCATCTATATTTCTATAATAGTAGGAGTGATTTTTAGATCTTAATTCTATTCTTCTTACCCATTTCAAGTATATTCATGCTCAAATTCTCTAAATGAAAGTAATGACCAAAAAATCAGAATATGAGGATTCCTTTATTTATAATGAATGCTACTTGAATGGAAGAAAACCCAAGACTTTCAAATTTCATGCTACAGGAATCATACATCTGCCATAACTGCTTT